ACGTGGAGGCCACGTCCGCATGCCACGCAAGGCGTCACAGACGAAAAGCAGAATCACAACACAGGATAAAAGTGGCAGGTTGGGCTGCGTCTCATTCAACTTCCTTCAAATGCAGGCATCAGAGCAGGACAACACGTGTGTGCACGTCCGCCAAATGCTGGTGGCTCGGGGCTTCCTTTGACTATTCTGTTATTTCCCATTTTGTTTTTAAGTCACAATACTGTACAGGTCAGAGCCAGGTTTTGAAAGGCCTTGAGGCTTACGCGGCGGTGGGCAGTTACTTAAAGGAGAATTGCAAACAGTTCAGCACGGAGCACAGCCTATGCTGGAAGTTTCTCAGTGTTCCAGTTAATCAAAGGATGACACGGGCTGAGGCAGGTGGGGGCTGGCAGGAAGGAGGGAGGGAGGCAGGTGCCTGCACCCCAGGCTCCAAGAAGAGCAGGCTGGGCTGGATCCTGTCCCTGTGATGTCCAAGGAAGAAACCCCTGGCCCACGGCTATATTGTCTGCCTCCTCCCTGGAACCACAGGACACTCCTTGGCTACTCCCTCCTCCCCACTGCCCCAGCTTTCCAGAGAACACAGGAGCTCCCTGGCTTCTGGGCAGAACCCTGATGCCCGAGACCTCCAGCTCAGCCTTCCAGGTCAGACCAGAGCCCCCTCTCTGCCTCCTGCTGCCTCCTCCCCGCCCTGTGCCCCTCTCAGACCCCGGCACCTCCTTCCATTCCAAGTTTTCTTGCCCTCCCCGCCCAAGGCTCCTCTGGCACCTAGACTCCCCGGGCGGCTGCCCACTATCCTGAGAGGCAAGATGCCGTGGGGCCTGGGGGGCAGGGGGTGGTGCACGCTGAGCCGGAGGAGGGGCCTTCCCTAGGCCCACCCTCAGCAAACTGACCTTTCAGCAACTGCCTGGGTGGGCCCAGCCCTCCACTCTGCAATGAGGCCTGTGGGCCTGGAAGTGACCCAGGGTTCAGGCCAGGGAGCAGAGATGCAGGGGAAGCAGGAGGGAGGAAAGTGGGGCTGGGGCAGGGAGCACCCTTGGACCTGCTGGGACTGCCTTCTACAGTACCTCCAATAGCAGCACAGCTGGGCTGGGGGCTGGTGCGCAGCAGATGACAGCAGACTTGGGGACACCCTCCTGGGCCTTTGGGCCAATGCACGTGAAGCTGGGTCCCTCGCTGCCCCAGAGATTGGTGGCTGAGCCCCAGGGCAGGAGCCCCTCCTTTGCTCCCATCCCAGGAGTCCCGGGGCTGCAGCCCCACCACACGTCCCAGCCTCCGTGTCTCCCTGCCTTCCCTCCCTGCATCCCCTGCTCCTTGTCTCGGTCCCATGGGCGACCCCTCGAGTCCCTCCCTCTCCCTGGTTCCAAGGCAGGTGGCTGGAAAGAAGTTATCAGAAATGGCGGCTTGTGGAGCACCTGAGAGGAGCCCCAGGCCTCAGACCGTCTTTGAGACACCGTGACTGTGGCTTGGCCAGGCATCTTGTGCCAGCAGGTCTACCAGGCTGCTCAGCCCGGGTGCCTGGGCCTCAGCCTTCCAGGACCGAGTGTGCGTGGGCACTTGCCATTCAGATGGACCCTGAGCTGCCGCTCCCAGACCCTCTGCCCAGGATCCCCACTCACCATCCATTGCCCAGGGCGCTGTGAGGCACTGGGGCTGCCCTCCTGAGAGGCCCTAAAACAAAAGGGCAGGCACCCATCTCACCGCCAGGATGGGACTGAAGATGGCTGTGGGCGTGGGGCAGGCTGGGCAAGGACAAGCATCCCCATCTCCCTCCCTGACCTGGAGACCGCCCAGGAGAGCACGGAGGGGCCACAGGCGGCTCCCCGGGCCTGCTGTCCTGCCTCCTCATGGGGGCAAAGAAGGCTCCAGCCAGACCTCAACTTACAGCTGGAAGCCTGGGACACGCCTCAGAGAGGCTGCTCAGGGCAGAAAAGAGCTGAGGGCTCTGAGAAGCGAGGGGGTGGGGGGGCCTGGATCCCAAGGGTCCCCTCCCCTCCCTCTGCCCCTGGGCAGGCCCTCAGCCCCGCCCGGCCCCACATACTCCTAGGTGAGCACTGCAGCTCCCACATACGGCCCATCATCCCAGAACTCCATGTTCACAAAGAGCCAAGGGGCCAGGCCGCACTGTGGCCCCCAAGGGGAGGATGGGGGGCCACACTGAGCCTGGTTCTCGGGGCACAACCTCTAGGGCTCAAGAGCAAGACAGTTATGTGCCCACAAGGCACAGGAGAGGTCGCTGTGCTTCAGCGAGTTTCTGTCCATCAGGTGTGGGTGCCTGCATGCACGGGTTACAATCAAGAATATGTTCCCCAAGGCCGGGCGCGGTGCCTCACGCCTGTAATCTTAGCACTTTGGGAGGCCGAGGCAGGTGGATCACTTGAGTTCAGGAGTTGGAGACCAGCCTGCCCAACATGGTGAAACCCCCGTCTCTACTAAAAATACAAAATTAGCCAGGCGTGGTGGTGCACACCTGCAATCCCTGCTACTTGGGAGGCTGAGGCAGGAGAATTGCTTGAACCCGGGAGGCAGAGGCTGCAGTGAGCTGAGATCTCACCACTGCACTCCAGCCTGGGCAACAAGAGTGAAACTCTGTCTCAAAAAATAATAAAAATAAAGAATATGTTCCCCAAAATGCTCAGAATGCTTATCCTTGAATTGTAAGATTAAGACGATTTTCTCCTTTTTTAAAATTATTCTTTAGCATCTCACGCTCAGCCAGCCCAGAGCTCACTGCAGCCTCAAACTCCCAGGTCAGCAATCCTCCCGCGACAGCCTCCTGAGTAGCTGGGACCACAGGTGTGCACACCTGGCTCAGATTTTTTTTGAGAGACAGGGTCTCACTATGTTGCCCAGGCTGGTCTGGAAGTCCTGGGCTCAAGCTGCGCTCCTGCCTCAGCCTCCCAAGTCACTGGGGTCACAGGCATGTGGCACCTCCCCCGGTATTGTCATCACTCTTGTCTGCTGTCTTCTTTCTTAAATAAGCATATGTTGCACGCATAATAGAAACAAAGCTGTTTTCATCTGGGGAAATCATGTTGCAGAAAAATATTTAATGACACGGATGTTCACGGCCGAGCTAGGAACGGGGGATTCTCCTGCTTTCAGGTGGTGTGTGCGTCTGTGTGTGCTTGCGCCCGCAGGGATCTAAAATGCACGCAAAGTGTTGGCCACGGTCATTTCCCGGGTGTCTGTGACACGGTTTGGATCTGTGTCTCTGCCCAAATCTCACGTTGACCTGTAATCCCCAAAGTTGGAGGTGCGGTCTGGTGGGAGGTGACCAGATCCTGGGGGTGGGCTTCACCCTTCGGTGCAGCTCTCATAGTCCCGGATTTCTCAGGAGAGCCGGCTGTTTAAGTGCGTGGCAGCCCCCGCTTCCTCCCGCTCCGGCCACGTGAAGTGCCGGCTCCCCTTCCGCCTTCTGCCACCGTGGAAGCCGAGCACCTGCCGCCATGCTTCCTGGGTGGCCTGCAGAACCTTGAGCCAATTAAACCCCTTTCTTTTACATTTTCCGGTCTCTGATATGTGTCTGTAGCCATGTGAGAATGGACTCATTCAGTACAGATGATTGTCACTTAACGGGTTTTCTTTCGCTTTGTAGACAGACATTCTCTAGCTTCATAGAATCAGCTGCACGGACAAATAAGCGCCCAATAGCAGCTTCTTCCTTCCTAGCAGAGGCAGTGGAAGCTGGGGGTGCCTACACCCGCCCAGCACCCCGGAGTCCCAGACAAGGGACAGCCGTTGGCCAAAGGGAGCAGCTCACATGGTTAGGCCCTCCTGGGGGCAGCCTGTGGCCAGTGGCCGCCGATGCTGGCATACAAAGGCCTGGCCCCTGCATCCGATGGGACACTGTATGAAAAGCCACCCAGCGGTCAGGTTGTCCCTCTGCTCAGTCTCCTTGCTGACCCCTTACAGGAGCATTTCCCAGGGCACTCCCAACAAACCCCCGGCATGGAGCCCATCTTTGATCAAAGACCAAGGAAGTCAGAAAAATAATCACTGCAGGGGCTGGGAGCGGTGGCTCATGCCTGTAATCCCAGCACTCTGGGAGGCCAAGGAGGGCGGATCACAAGGTCAGGAGTTTGAGACCAGCCTGGCCAGTATGACACCCTGTCTCTACTAAAAATACAAAAATTAGCTGGGCATGGTGGTGCACACCTGTAGTCCCAGCTACTCAGGAGGCTGAGGCAGGAGAATTGCTTGAACCCAGGAGGCGAAGGTTGCTGTGAGCCAAGATCGCTCCACTGCACTCCAGCCTGGATGACAGAGTAAGACTCTGTCTCAAAAAAAAAAAAAATTATATATATATATATCACTGCAGGTGCGACTGCTTGGACAGCCACAGCCAGCCTGGAGCAGAGCCTCACCTTCTTGGCTCCAGCTCAGACACAGGCTCCCACCTCCCACACTCCCCACTATTCTGCCCTCCGCAGCAAACCCCCATCGTCCTCGTCCTGGACGCTGTCCCCTTGTCCCTGGGGATTCTGTCGTCCTCCTCCCTGTGCGCCCCTCACTGCACACCTTCCTCCCACCCTGTCAGTGAATTTCCACGCAGGCCACCTCTGCCCGCCCTTGGCAGGCAGCACTGTCCCCTGTCAACTGCTCCAGGACCTCCCCCCCCGCCTCGGTCCTGGTGATTTCTACAAACACCATCATCCCCAGAACACTCAGCACACAGCAGACACTCGGTAAGTGCACACGGAACAAATGAACACCCCAGACCCCAGTAGGAGCCTTGCGCCCTTGGGCACCTGAGCAGGGGGTGGAGCCGGCTGCTGTGGGTTCCTGGCAAGGTCCTAGAACAGGCCCCGGAGACCCAGGAGCTGCCCCCACTGCCGTCTCTGCAGCAGGCTCTGAGTCCTCACCCTCGCCTGCCTCATCCATCAGGACTGCCCAGCCCAGGCCCCATGGAGGCCAGGCAAGACCAAGCCAGGGGCAGAGGCAGGCACGGGCCCCACGGAAGCTCTGGGACTTTGCCCAGCTAGGGGCAGAGCACGGCACACACTGTCAAAAACACCCCGTGGGGTCAATTTATTTTGAGGTCGCAAAGGAGACACTGCTACAAAGCACGGCCCTAAAGGAGCAGAAACGCCCGCAGGAACTGGAGAGCCCCCAGGCAGGTGAGAAACGCGCAGTCCTGGGTCCTCCCCAGGCCTCGGGCGTGCAGTGCAGACGCTGCTTCACTGAGACTCTTCTCTCCACCTGGAAGCTTCCTCCAGGCGTTCCCCTGGAGGAGGAAAAGGCGTGGGACAGGGGGAGGAGCGGCTGCAGCTGGGCCTCCCCAGGCCTGGCTCCGGAACTCCCGCCGTCTGTGCAGGGCGGCTGAGTGCGGGGCTCTGTCTAGCCTTTCCCAGACCAGGAGACCAGACACAGCAGGGCCTAAGGGCCGTCTACACAGCAGGGCCTAAGGGCTGTCTGAGGTGACTCCTCAAAGAGGGGCCTGCCAGACCCAACAAATCCCATCCTGGAATCTACAAGCCAAGGAGCTGAATCCCTGCCCCAAGGGCGCCTGTCATTAGAAGCCCCATTTTATGGAGAGGGAAGGTCAGCAGCATTCGCTTCAGGGCACAGGCCCAAGGCAGGGGCATTCCCAGCCTCACTCCCAACCTCACCAGGCCGGGCACCCAGCCAAGTCCCAGGAGAGCGGTCACCCCTGCACAGCTTCACACACCAGCCTTCACAGTGCCCCCCACCCTCGCCACACCTGGCCCTGGTCACACCAAGGAAGGTTGGGGAAGGGCGGGAGAACAGGCTGTTTCTAGAAGCAGACACCTGTAGACGTCCATACTAAGACGTCTGACACAGCACGGTGGGAGGAAATTTCCAGAAGGAACTCCAAGGTCAACTGCCCTGTGATCCAGAGGCACTGGTGTCAGCAGACCCCCCAGACCCCTCTAGCCCCCGGGTGTCAGCAGACCCCCCAGACCCCGCTAGCCCCCGGGGGTCAGCAGACCCCCCAGAACCCCTTTAGCCCCCGGGGGTCAGCAGACCCCCCAGACCCCTCTAGCCCCCGGGGGTCAGCAGACCCCCCAGACCCCTCTAGCCCCCGGGGGTCAGCAGACC